AAATAAATAAATAAATAAAATATATATATATCTGGAATCTTCCTCCCCAGGAAAATACTTTGGTAGGGTTCTCCTAAACTATTGCCAGTGCCTTAAATCTAACGGACTGTTAGGTCTTCTATGCACACAAGGTTTTCCATGCCCAATAGAGGCTTTGACAACAATTGATTTTCATTCCCTTTAACCTTACCAGTAAGTCTTATCAGAAACAGCAGAGATAACCTCAGCTTCTGAACCTTCCAAGCAAAACATCCCCAGATATCTTCTCTAACCCCATTTTCAGTCATTCTTTGCATGTTGTTGTTGTTGTTATGTGCCATGGAGTCGTCCTGACTCACAGTGATCCCTCCTTGGGTTTCCAAGGCAGTATCTCTACGGAAGTAGATTGCCCAATCTTCCTTCCGGGGAATGGCTGGTGGGTTTGAACCACCAACCTTCTGTTAGCAGTCAAGTGCCTTAGGCACTACGCCACCAGAGCTCCCATTCTTTGCATGGGCAAATGCAATTTGGCTGATGGTTTGAATAGGACAAACTCAATCAATGGCCCTCAGACAGTCTCTCCAAAAATACAGACAAATCTCAATCACTGAACTTGAAACCGTAAATCGAAGGCACTCTTATATTGCACCCTCTGACTAAGTAGGTCTCATTTTAGAGGTCCAAACAACTGTAAACAACACATTCCTCCAGGGCACCATGCGCACCCCCATGACTACTTCATCTGTGTAAGCTAGGCATTAACTTGCCTCTCTTCTCAAAACAAGGTAACATCCACCTTGTTGTTAGTTGTGATTGTGTCAGCTCCAACTCATGGTGACCTTATATATAACAAAACATTGCACAATCCTGTGCCATCTCTGCCTTCCAACCTGGAGAGCTCATCTTCCAGCACTGTATCAGGCAATAGTCTATTGTGACATTTATGGTTTTCACTGGCTAATTTTTGAAGTAGATAGTCAGGCCTTTCTTCCTACTCTGTCATGGTCTGCAAGCTCCTCTAAAATTCCCCACATGGTGAGCTTGCTGGTATGTGAAATACTGGTAGCATACCTTCAAATCTTAAGGCAACACACAAGCCACCACAGTATGGCAGTCATAACAGACCTTCAAGTGTTTACAGAAACAAATACTACCTTGTCCTCGAAAGGCAGATTGCCTCAACTCAGTTTTTACGAATGACAAAATTTTCCTAGACTTCCTCCTGACATAAGGTCAGCAGTTCCAACCCACCAGCTGCACTGTGGAACAAAGGTGGTAGTCTGCTTACATCCTTGAAAACCATATGGGGCAGTTCCACTCCATCCTATCAGGTGACTATGAGTCAAAATGAACTCAATGACAAGGGGACTGGGTTTGGAGTAACCTCCTTGTAGGTCAAGGTGGAATGTATACAAATACTAATACACCTTGCTATAACTGGATGTCTTAAGCCAAGAGGAAAGGTTAATACAAAAACTTAGAGAGCCACATGATGTTGCAATGTAAACTTTGCAAGAGACAAACAGATACTGTACCAGCCCTGTTATTCAGATTAATTAGAGTGACTAAGGAAGACTATTATGTGTGAAAAATAAGGGTGGACTTGTTGGGAGATAATTCTCAATGGGCTTCTCCTGTTTCTGCACGTATTCTGAACAAGAGGCATTACCAGCTTTATTCTGGACTATCTTCTCAAGAATGTTCATATAGTGAACACACTCAAAAAACTGCCCCAGAGATAATGTCTTCCTCTGGGGCAGACAAAATACTTGATTGTTGTCCAGGATAATAAAGATGGCCTCCTAGAAGCAAAAGTTGAGCAGGTTAGGAGTTCCCTAAGATTTTGAGTTCCATTAAGTTGGGAGCTACTCAGCTATGCCAGAGGCACTGGGTGAACTGCATCCACCTGGGTCCCTATCTTTCCCCAAGGACTTGGAAGACAAGTAAACTAGTGTGAACATGAGGCTCACGCTATCTATTGTATTGTAATACAATCTTTTATCTCTGCCCCAGAAGCTGTCTGTCAGCATCTACAAAACTGTGGCAGGGTAATTGTTAGCTGTCAATCAGAGTAAAATCAAACACACTTCATAATTCTTACTAGATGCTAGATTTTGTCAAAAACCTTTTGCACCTACTGAGGTATCTAGTTTTACTGTTATTACTATGATGAATTACACTGATTATATCTCAAATGTTAAATAAACCCTGAATCCTGGAATAAACCCCCACTTGATCATAATGTATTGTTCTTTCAATATATTACTGGATTCAATTTACTAAAATTTCATTTATAATTTTGCATCTATTTTGATGAGGGATACTGGTCTGTAGCTTTCTTTTAATATCTTTGGTTTTGGAGTCAGAGTAATGTTGACCTCATAGAATCAGTTAAGAAGTATTCCTTCCTCCCCAATTTTCACAAAGAGTTTGTGTAAAATGAGTATTATTTATTTCTTAAACATTTACCAGTGAATTTACCAGTGAAACCTTCTTGGCTACAATTTTCTTTGTGGAAAGGTTTTAAACTATATTTTCAATCTCTGCTATTAAGTGCAGGTACAGAAAATTCATTTACGTATCACTCTCTGAAAAGCAATGCTTTAGTTACATCATGTTCAATCCCAAATTTTCTACACATATGAAAATCAAAGGAATAGCTGTTAGTGGATTGGATATCTTAAGATACACAGATTTATCAAGTACAATATTCCTTAGTTAACTTTAACATGTCATAATAGTTAAGGTTTTGAGGATAAAATTTATTGCTAAACCTACAGACATATCAAACTCATTGTAGGTCCAAAACTGAATCCATTTTCTTATCCATCAAGCCTACTCTTCTCTTGCACTTCACACAAGGCACCCAAGCTAAAAACCATAATCATTTCATCTCTCTTTAACCCTTCATTCAGTCAGTCACCATTCCTGCTGATTTTAATTACAGCAAAATTACTGAAATCTACCTCCTCCTCTCTAACCCACTTTAAGTAGTAAGGTTAATCATTTCAGACCCTGACCATTTTAAGAGATCTCTAGCTTTTCTCACTCTATTCCAATCCACTCTGCAAACTATAATAGCCCTGCAGGGTATCTGAAGATTGGTTCCAGGGCCCCTACTAATATAAAAATTCATGGTTGTTCAAGTCCCTTATATAAAATGACCTTGTTGTTGTTGTTGTTGTTATGTGCCATCGAGTCGGACCCGACTCATAGCGACCCCTCCTTGGGTTTCCGAGGCAGTATCACTACGGAAGTAGGATTGCCCAACCTTCCTTCCGAGGAGTGGAACCTATGCACAATCCCCCTCTATACATTAAATCTCTAGATTATTTATAATACCTAACAAACTGTAAATGGTCTATAAATAGCACTTTATACTTCCTCTTTGAGGGATTGCATTGGCCACTTAATTGCTTTGTAGGATCAATTTTTTCACCAAAGCAAAGGGTGCAAACAACACAAGTACCAAAAAAAAGAAGTGATCAATGCACAAACAAGTGCTGAACAGAAGGAGGATCTGTGAAATGGTGGAAGGCTGTATCAACACATCACTTCATTCACACGGATTCAATGTAGTGCTCAGCACACAGCAAAATCCAGTTTTGTATTTTGGAGTTTTCTGGAATTTTTCTTCCCCCCACCCCCCAAATATTTCTGAGCGGCGGTTGGTTGAATGCACCGATGTGGAACCCACAGATAACAGAGGGCCAAATGTACGAGTATAGTAATCTTTCTTAATTATAAAAGCGATCATGTCACTATCCCATGCAAATATTTTTGACAGTGAAATCCCCGTGATTGCAGGGCAATCCAAACTACACAATATGTAAAGCTTATCTTCTTAGCTTTAGATCCAAATATTTGTCCAGACTGTTATAATTATGTTTCAGTCACTTTGCTAGCTATTCCCTAAGCCATATACTTTAACATCACAATTGTTCATGTTTTTTATCTCCCCATGCTTTTCCATGACCTGTGTTGTGGAACAATGTTTACATACTTTAACAGAGCAATTGGCACACCATATTATTGTTTGGCTGTGAGTTTTTCAGAGAAGCAGTCATGGTTTATTCAACTTAAAAATTCCCAATCCCTAGTAATGTGCCTGAAATACAGCAGATGTTAAATATGTTTAATAAGTAATATTCCAATTATTTAAATATGTTCAATAAACACATTATCAACATTTAATTCTTATCCTGAGTACAACTTTCAAGATGAACTAAAATTAGTAATACTTGAGGAAATTAACGGATGAAAAATAAAGTTACTCCAAAGAAGAGGTCAGGAACAAGAGGGAGAGACAAGGATAAAACACAAAATATGTTGATTATTTAGCATTGAAGACAGGGAATATAACCAGAGAGATATTATGGGAAAAGCTTCTAGTCTACAGCACCAGCTCAAAAAAAAAAAATACTCGACCGGAAGCTAAAAATGAACAGGGGACAGAAGAGCCTGCGAAGTGGCCTGTCAGTCCCACGCAGTCAGCGTGTGGGGAGCTCATCACACAAGTACAAAGTGTTCTGCTTCGAATAACTAGAATCTCGGGTTCCTGGGCAGCTTGGGCTTTAGAAACTCCACCCTTAAGAAGGCACACCCTTGCCTGACTTTTCCTGCAGGATTGATGGCCTAAGCAAAGCATCTTACTACCTTCCAGAGAAGAGCGGCGGGAAGGAAAAAAAGATGTGTGACTAATGGATTGGGGGGCGTTCAAGTCTAACAAGTTTTTGGTTTGGGTTTTTTTTTTTTTGAGTGCCGGATACTGAGAATAAAGCGGAGTACACGAGAGATAATGGTCCTTGCCCTCGTGGCGTGGCTTTTAAAATTACTGTGGAAAAGTGACTGCCAAGGGCTGAGAGCGGTGGGGAGCCCTGCATTTTCCCTCCCCAACTCCAGGTTCCTGAAGCCACCTTCCCTCAGACACGGAGCTGTGGCGGCGGCAAAGAACCACATATATGCCCAGACTGGGCCTTCTCCCGTGACCCTCGACCCAGGACGGTCCCCTTGGCTCTCACCGAATCCTTTAATGAGCTCGGTGAAGACCCCGGGGTCGCTCTCCATAAGGCACCATTCCCCAGCATTGCCCGTCATGGCCCAGACCGCACGCCGCCCCGCTCCACCTCTCGCTCTCAGCCTCCCCTTGCACCAGCTGCTGCCGATCACAGATATCGGTATACCCGCCGCTGAGCTCGTCAACCCCACGTCACCCCGCCTACTTCCCGACAGCCTCCAGGCGCCGTCACCTGCAGCGCGACGGCGCGCTGGAGGACGCTCTAGCCACCCAAGAGACATCGAAACCCTTCCTAAGCCTTGCAGGACTCGTAGCGGATTCGGAAGGGGCTGGGGCCTGAGAAGAAAGGGCGGGGATTCAGAGGGCCGAAAGAGGTAACATCCGGGGTCCTCGCTAGTCAGGAGTGAGGGCGGAGCAAGAGAGGGGGCGGGGCCCGATAACGGGAGCCGAACCTGAAAGTCCCGGAGGCGGTGGAGCTGGAGTTACAGCTACCTTCCAGGCCGCCGACTCCCGTGGTTTCCCAACGCTGCTCAGAGCTTCTACCAGCGGCGGTGCGTGTACGAGGATCCGCTGGGATCTCGGCCGCCAAGTACAGGTGAGGAAGCTGCGGGAGGCCGGCTTGGGGGCCCTTTGTGCGGTCTGAGCGGCTCCAAGGGCGCTCCTCCATGGCCCTCACCCAGCATCCCAGCGGCCATAATCGGGGCGAACCCTTCGCCAAACCATCATTTTCCCTTGCCCCGCCTATGCGCCCTGCCCTTGCTAGGTACAGGTACCAGCATCGCTTTAGAGACATTCTCCCTCGCAGAGCTAGGCCTGCACTCTCCCGAAAGTGGGCCCTTTCCGAACCCGAGACTCCTCCTGCCTCTAACTGCAGAGCTTCCTGCAGGCTTGCGTCCAGCGATCTTGTTTTACTCCTCCTCTTCCTTCTCCCCCGGCTTCTGCGCGGCGGGGCGTTGCCACCGATCCGGGATTTGGGAAAATCTTTGTGGAAAAAGGGAAGGCGAATTTACCCTAAGGGGAATGACGAAAGAGAAGAGAAAGATCCTACGGACCGTATTATGGTAGACAGATGCAAAGGGATGCGAAACCCCGAATGAAAATGAGGTTGATAAAAGTGTATTATGCTAAAAATATCTATGATGGTTCCAAGACTGGATAGTGGTGAGTTAAGCCAAAAATGGCTATTTTCAGTAAATGACTAAATCGTCTTCATTCAACAGGCTCTTACAAAAGCATTAAAATTAGTCTTTAAGAGTGGATTTATGCATCACCCTAAAAGCAAATCATTCCAAGAAGAGCCTTAACCAAACCAAACTCACTGCCGTCGAGTGGGATTCGACTCATGAGCACCCCTCCTTGGGTTTCCGAGTCGATATCACTATGGAAGTAGATTGCCCAACCTTCCTAGGAGTGGCTGGTGGGTTTGAACCGCCAGCCTTCAGATTAGCAGTCAAACGCCTTAGGCACTACGCGACTAAAGCTTTTATTTTTTTAAGAAGGGCCTTAGGCTTCCAAATTAAAAAATGCATTAGTCATTAAAACACTCAAAACAGATGACGTGTTAGGGTCGTCTGTAAAAATAGAACCAGTGAGAGAGAGAGAGAGAGAGAGGGGAATTGGTTCAATTGTGTGTGGGGTGGCAAGTCCAAAATCTGCAGGTCAGGTGGTTGTTGTTGGGTTCCATCAAATCAATTTTTGACTCATAGTGGCCCCCTGTGACAGAGTAGAACTGCCCCCTAGGGTTTTCAAGGCTGTAATGTTTATGGAAGCATATTGTCATGTCTTTATCTCATGGAGCCATTGGGTGAGTTCGAACAACCAACCTTTCAGTTATTAATTCCTTTTCTGTATTTACACATCTGAATATCTTTTAGTCTATTATTTGAAAATGCTACCTTTCATCACGAGAGGTCAAGCAGATTTTTAGACTGAAGATTCCTTTGGTCTTCTGTCCCAAAATCTGTAGGTCCAAAACGTCGAGGCGTTCTGACAAAATGTCTGTCTACAGTTTGGAGGTAGAATGCACCTTAGGAAAAGCTTCCTTTTTGCTGTTAAGTACTTCAGCTGATTGGATGAGGCCCACCTACATATTAGAGAGTAATCTGTTTTTAGACCTTATGATTTAATTATATATAACTGACTACTTCATGACATGAACTGTTGATGGTTCAGTGGTAGAATTCTGGCCTTGCATGCAAGAGACCCAAGTTTGATTCCTGGGCACTGCACCTCATGCACAGCTGCTACCCTGTTGTTGGAGTCTTGTGTGTTGCTATGATGCTGAACAGGTTTCAGCAGAGCTTCCAGAATAAGATAGAACAGGAGGAAGGGTGTGGCGATCTACTTCCAAAATAAAGCCAATGAAAACCTGTTGATCACAAATCTCCCATTCACAGCCAGTCATGGGAATGGCACAAGATTGGGCAGCAGTTCATTCCATTGTGCTTGGGATCTCCATGAATCAAGACTGACTTGATGAAGAGCATCTAGACTAGTGTTTGACCAAACAGCTGGCTACCATAGTCTAGTCAAATTGACATGTAAATATATAAAATTAACTGTCACAGCTATACTCTTGAGTTAGGGAGCACCGTGCTAAGGATTATGTGAAGCCGCAAAATAAACATCAATTTTACTGAGGTTGGAAACAACTACATTTTAAAAAAAAATCTTTCATATTAACAATCATGGCTGTATTATGGAGTAGAAGCAAAAATATGTGTAAAATGGTAAGATGTCAAAAATTTCTTTCTGGGGAAAAAAATTTCTGCCCTCAAGCTGTGGAGTCTCTCTGTTCAGTATATGCTTCTAAGATACTTAAATGGAAAAATTTTAGAGTCACATGGGTCTGGCTTTAGTTCCTTATAAACCACATTTAGAATAATGATCATCAGAACCCAAAGGTACTTGTAGTGATTTCTGCTAATTTGTCATCTGTAATATTTCTGTGAACTTTTAAGATTTTTTTGTCCTGTATATATATATCAATACTAACATTTTTTTGGCACCTAACTTAAATAGTGCCTGTTGTATAAAGGCCAAACCAAATGTTTAGCCTTTGACACAAGGTGCCTGTCATCGGGATTGTTGTTGTTATGTGCCGGGATTGTTGTTGTTATGTGCCGTTGACTCGTCTCTGACTCATCGTCTCTGACTCATAGCGACCCCTCCTTGGGTTTCTGAGGCGGTATCACTATGGAAGTAGATTGCTCAGCCTTCCTTCCAAGGAGTGGCTGGTGGGTATGAACCGCCAGCCTTCTGGTTAGCAGTCAAGTGCCTTAGGCACTACACCAGCAGAGCTCCCTAATCATCAGGATAGAGGATTAAAATTTCTTTAATTATGCTGTTAACATTTAATTCTAAGAGTTTACATAAAAATCCGTATTTCTGGATGAGAAATATAAATTCTGGCAACCTACTACATGGCAGCAATTGGCTGGAGGTGCTTGCATTGACAGCTCCACTTAGACTGACATGCTCTCTTGTTTGCCACAGTTCTGGACATTTATTATTGCATCAGCCTTGACTTGATCCACTCATTTCCATCACCTGTCTCTCTCATACAGATACTTGAATTGGTGATCCCAGTTTTTCCAATACTGTTTATTTTAAAACTCCTATTGCACTGTCATAGATTTAAGTTAGCTTTATTTTAAAATGGAGTAAGCTAATCTGTTTGACCTCTTGGGATGAATGGTAGCATTTTCAAATAACAGGATTGTCAAAGTCAAGAGACTTTGAAAGATAACTCATTTTTAAATATGAGAAAAGGAGCCCTAGTGGCACAACGGTTAAGCTCTTGATTGCTAACAGAAAGGTTGAAAGTTGAAACCCACACAGTGGCTCAGTGGGAGAAAGACCTGGCTGTTTGCAGCTGTAAAGATTACAGCCTACCAAACCCTGTGGGACAGTTCTGTTCTGTCACATGGGCTCACTATGAATCAAAATCAACTCAGTGGCACCTAACAACAGCAAATATAAGCAAATGTAGGAATCCTTGGAAATAATATATTGTTACTACTAGTAAAAGATGTTATGAATCTTCTAGTTATAATGATTGTGAAGCAGAAACAAGTGTTATTACATATTGTGTTTTACATACTGTGATTTTGCGTCATAAATCAAGAAAGAAATGAGTATATAAAATAAAATTTTACACTGTCGCTCTTTTAAAAGAGTTGTGATCTGTTTAGTTTTTCCCTAACATTTTAATTTATAGAAATTTAACACAACATAACTGTATTAAATTTTTTGGAGTCATGCACATTAAGAGCACTGGGTAGGTCAGACCAACCCAAAGAATTAAGTACTTTTTTGTTAATCTGGATTTGCAGCACTTCATTATTCAGAAGTGGATTAGCTGATTCCTAGGTGACCAGGCTGTGACCTCACTCAGTGCCCAACTGCCTTCTAAAGGATTGATAATAGAACTTATGCATGTAGGAGGGAGATAGTGCCAGTTGAGGAAAGAATAAATTAAGTTTCTGTATATATTTGTGTAGAAGGAACCCTGGTGGCACAGTGGCTGTTAGCCTTGACTGCTAACTGGAAGGTCGGCTTCTCTGGGTCAACCCACCAGCTGCTCCGGGGAAGGAAGACAGAGTGATCTACTTCCATAAAGATTTATAGCCTCAGAAATCCAAATGGGGCACATAACAACAACAACATGAGTTGAAAACGACTTGATGGCACTGAGTTTGGTTTTTTTGGTTTTTTTTTTTTTTGGAGCCAGTCTGAGGGAGAAAGATGTTTTAGTCTTTCCATAAAGATTAATAGTCTTGGAAACCCTATGAGACAGGTCCTCTGTCCTGTAGGGTCAACTTGATGGCAACAGGCTTGGTTTTGGGGGAATTACATACCTGTATATCTCAAGTTGATTTCTAAAGTCAAATCTAAAAAATGTAGGGCTAAATATTTTCGCAGAATCTATGCTGTTCCCTTCCATTGCTGGTATAGGTAAAAATAGAGTTAAATAAACATGTAGTATTTATTTAAATATAAATATATTTCCCAAATATATTTCAGTTAACCAATTTTTTAAGTTTTAATTTTTTTTAAATAGCTTTTTTGACATAATTCATATATCTTGAAATTTACTGTTTTAAAGTATATAATTCAGTGGGTTTTGTATACTCACAGAGTTGTGTGACCATCATCAATCTTATTTCAGGACATTTCATCACTCCAAAAAGAAACCCCTTACCCATAGCAGTTACTCCCTAG